TTCAGTCTTCATTTCTATTCTTCCTTATTTCAATAACATTTTCTTAATTCTATATTAGAAAGCATTTTATTTTTTTTTCCTCTGAGGACTCTATATTTTAGTGTTACCATTTATTCTTATGTCATATCACCTTTATCATCAAACCTTGGTATGTTTATGGTATGTTTTTATCTCAGTAACATTATTGTTAACAATCATAATTAATGTTGTTATAATTAACATTATTTTCTTTAATTTCTGTAATTTTTCACTATTTTATTAATACACCTGTATGGATGTAATTTTAGTCCTTAATTCACTTCCTTCACCTTGAAAGCTCTCTTCATGTCATTTGTTGGGCGGGGATCGAACTCATGCGGAAGTGGCTTTAGCTTCTCAGTGCAGTGCTTTAACCCGCTGCGCCACCAGGGAGGGCCCTGTGGGGTTTTTTTTAACTTTATTTTATATTGCAAAGAGAATTTTCTTGTGTTCCTTGGGTTGTGTTTTCTTCAACATTTTGTACTTATATTTTTCTATTTCTCTTTATTATGTTTTATTGTATTCATTTGCATAATTGCTATACTTTCTTGCTCATTTTCACCATGGGCAGCACTATCCTGACCTTTTATTTCTTCTCATAGAACATTATTCTTGATTCTTAACTGTTCTAGCCATATTTTTCTTCCCTCTGAGTTACAGTTTGAAACTTGGATGCTCTGCATGTGGGGAGCAGAAGGGAAGAACTTCATTGGAGCTATTTACATCTTTATTGCAAAAATTTGGCTCTGCTAACTCTGAAATTTTGCTAATGTCCCCAACCAAGATTCTGTTCACTTTATTTGCATATAGCTTTTCCCCATCACAGGTATTCTTTCAATTAGTAATGTTCCTCCTTTGGATTTGAGTTCTAGAACCTGTATAGTGTTTCAAAATGTGTCATCCTCAGTTGTTTATTTCCCAGGATTCTTCATTTCTCTCCAGCAAACATTTCTGGTTCCACCACAGTAAGAGAGAGAGAGAGAGAGAAAGAGAGACAGATATTCCTATTTATTTCCAAATGTGTGGGTATTTGAGAGAATTTGCAGGGTTTGGGCAATTCACCAGTCTCACTTTCGCTAAGCATGAGGTTGGGGGTGGTACAGGAAGAGGATTGGAGGCTGGTTTTGGAATCTTATGTTTCTTTAGTTGTTTCTTTTTAGAAGTTTATGTCATTAGGCTGTACTTCTCACTGTGTGTTTGTATTTTAATGGATTGTGGGTTTTTTTGTTATGGCATGTTAGTTATTGGTGAGAAAGCACATGATCCTATTTCTCTGCTGAGACCTCCATCAGATTCTTCTTTTTCCACTTGCTTCTTAATCCGTTCACTTCTTAACACCTCACCTATTCAACATTTTGTACTGCCATCTTCTCAGCCCTCACTGAAACTGTTCTCTTGAGCTTACAATGACTTCTTCCTTGCCATTTTATTTCTTCTCAATTCTTATTCTGTTAGCCCTACCCTTGTTTGAACATTTTGATTGTTTTGCCTCTCATCTCCCATTCCCCATGAATGTGTTAATTATTCATAAAATGGGTGACAGAAGTTGCTAATTCTGTGTAATTACAAAGCCAGTATCAGTGTTTCCAGTAGAATCAATATGTAATTGTTTTTTATCAAAAGCTTCTACCAGGACTACGAAACAATTACCAATTTAACCATTTCCCAAAATCAGTGTAGGTTTTTGTGTATATATATATATATATATACTTAATTTAATGTTGTTTGGTGTTAATCAAAATAAGCTGTCTTCTTCTGACCTGATTAGCACAGGAAAGTGGAAAGTAAGGAATGAAAAAAATATTCTTAAGGGATATATTTTTTAGTAGAATATGGGTTTATAACAATTCCTAAGACTCCTGATAAAATCTTATAGCAAGCCTTTGTCAAAAGAGTCAGGGTTTTTGGGTATGGGTTTGTCTTTGGTTAATCTCTTTTTTTTGTTGTTTGTCTGTTTTTGGCATACTATAGAGGTGACAAACTCCTAGCATTTATTGTAAGTTAATTTTGTCAATAATTCTAGAATCAACCTTGATCCTCCTTATCCTATGACAATTTATAATTTGCTTTCACAAAACTGCAAATACTACAAAGAAAAGAGTAAAGACTGATGTAAGAATTGAGAAGAGGGAGTGAGGAAAGGAATAGTCATAAAAGATATCTTTTGTTTTATGTTGTGGAAAGTTACATAAAGTTTCTAACATGAGTCTTATCCAAGAACATATGCCAATTATAGTCAAACAGGAGAATTAGCATTTCATTAAAGATTAAATGTAAGGTCTATGAAAGTAGAAGTAAGAAGTAAGAAGATCTGCTTGGGTTGATTCGCTTAGCTGATGGCACAAAGATTGGCTGGCTGAAACCAAAGGTCTTCTTGGGTTGGCAGAATCCAGAACAAAGAAATATTAAGTCCTATAGATAAACATTCTTCTAACTTATAAGAACACAAATACTGTCTCATAGAAAGCATCAAGTGCCAACACCTTTCATGAGCCAGTGTGATCCCATAGACCTATTTTCCGTGGCTTGGATGGCTACCTGCTAAGAGTTAGGACAGCTCTTTTTCTTTAAAAATGAACCAATGTTCATTAGTTTTGTTATTTTCTCGCCTGGTCCATTAACCATATACCAGAGACATGTTGTGGGGGTGGAGTGGGGAATGGGATCAAAAACGGGGGAGGGGGGTGGGAAGGGAGGGAAATGCATGGAACTATGGTGGTAGCACCTGGGTGATTTGATGATGGGAAACACGCAGGGATTACAATCGAGATGGAAAAAAAATGTGCAAAATGATGTAAAAATAAACTTTTGTAATAATTTAAAAAATAATAATAATAAAATAAAAAAAATGAACCAATGTTATTTGAAGATCTCCTATACTTTTCCTAGCTCTACACCAAATTTGTTTTGCAGTCCTAAAATGATCCAGTTATAGTTAGGAATTGCAAAAGTGCAGAACTAAGGTTACTCTGAATTTCTTGCTTCTGACAAAATTAAATCCTCCTGCTTGCCATTGAGTTAATATAATCCATACACACACACACATAATTAGGCATTAATTACAGAACAAATAAAGGTTAAGTTGATTGGGCTATAAGAAGATAATGAAGTGAAACTAGTAAGAAAATATAATTACGCTACTTGGACTTTTAAGAAGCAAGTATACTGTCATTAAGCCAACAAAATATTTACCAAGTTGCTTTATTAATATGTGAGATGTTGATAAATTAATTTCTAATTCAACAAATTTTACAGAATAATTATTAAAACTTTAAAACATTGCTATTTTTCTCTATAAACCCACTGCAGGTGTTAAGAAGGACTTCAGATGTGAGACATTATTGTCTTTGGGGTTCTCCCTTTTCATTTTGACTGCATGATGCATGTTTTTAATACTGTTTTGTTTTGTTTTGTTTTGTTTAGATGAAGTACAATAGACAAGTGAAGTCTTGGAAGGAGAACAGAGGTTGCAAGCAATAAATCTTCATTAATGTTTTAGTAGGGAAATTTTGCTGGAATAAATTGACCTAAATACTTACACACATATAGAACAGGGTAGCTGACTTCACTAGTATATTGACCGCTGTGCTTAGAAAAATATACTTTGTCATACAAATTGTTTGCAGATTTCTATTCCTTTGCTTAATTCCATCTGTTTTTAATGTAGAGGTCTGTGCTGAACTTCCATTTCACACTCTAAGTTAAGTGGATTTCATCAGAACCCTGCACTGTCCCTGTATCCGCAGACTTGGTTGAGGAGGTAGAGGGATTGGAGGACTTCAATTAGGAGGGAGCCACAACTGGCAGTGTAATATCTGGTCATATAGTCCTACCTATGTGCCCTCTTTAAAGATCCATTTCAAAAACTTATTTTCAACTTGTTAAAAGAAACCCAGCAAGTATGACTTTTATTTTGTTCAATGTCAAGATTCAATAAAGTTAAATATTACACTTGGTTTTTCATGCTCTGCATTTAACCAAAATATATATATCAAGCCTTCAGGTAACAAAGGATTAACACTAGACATCTATTTAGCAAATAAAAAAGCCCACCAAACAATTAAATTCAGATTTCTGACAGTCCTAGTTGAAACCAAATCAAGATTCAAAAATTGGATGAAAAAAATTGGTCATAATACTCAAGGTACAAATTAAATATAAATGTGATTTGAACCTTCATGCATGAATTTTTATTAGGTCTTAATGGTACTGTGGTTATGTTTTTAAACAGCCCTTATCTTTGAAATGTATATTTACTGAAACATTAATTGGTGAAATTATGTAATATTTGTACTTCATTTCTAAATAATACAACAATTGGCTGTGGGTTGATGAGTATGTGAAAGTTAATTACACTCTTTTGTCTACTTTTGAGTATCTTTGAAATTTCCACAGTAAAGAAAAATGGGTGTAAGGCATGTCTTTATGTTAAAAAAAATTCTATGATTGAAACATCCTAAATGTCATACAATTTAGGATTTCTAGCAGAGACTACAGATGGAAGCAGGGGCCTATGTACCACTTTTGGCATTGTGACATTTTTGTTCCACCATTGTGGTATTAATCTTTGATTTTTGCCTTTATCTTTCCATAGAGCAGTGCAAGAAAATTGTTAGTCAGTTACAAACTTGTTAGAGTGGAGATTATTCTGCATGTAACAGAATCTCTAGTTAAAGCTCATGAAGAGGAGAGCAAAGTTAAGTAGAAAGGGATAGATATTTCTGCCAAGGCCAGCCAATACAAAATGAAGTGAACTGGGTGAGGGCAAAATAACAAACATTACATTTTTCAATTTGATTGTGGTTTTTATGAAATAAATCTGATTGGATTGAAGCCCTATAATTAATCAATTGAGTATGATCAGCTTAAATCTAGCTTAAGGTGAACTGTCAGCAACTGAAAAGGCTCCATCTGTGATATATTTCTAGGTAGAGTTGCTAATTGAGGGACATGTTTAATGGTTTGCTTTTATTCAATTCCAGGATTTCCTTCAAATGCTGTTGGAGAGCATCCCAGAAGAAAAACGGTGAGGACCAATTTAGGAATTGAGTCCAGTTATACTTTTTTTTTTTTTTAAGATTTATTTATTTATTCATACAGAACTGGGGTACAGGCCAGAGATGCGGAGGGTGAGAGGATTCACCAGGAGCAGAACAGGCAGATTGACAAAGTACACTGCTAAGGGGAGCAGCGGGCGGGTCAGGAGAGGTCTGCCACACCATGTGGATCTCCTCCAGGGCAAGTGGGGATCGAACTCATGTGGAATTGGCTTAAGCTTCTTAGTGCAGTGCTTTTAACCTGCTGCTCCACCAGGGAGGGCCCTCCAGTTATACTTTTAATATAAAAAAAAAAATGACTCTGCCATTGATTGACTTGTTACAACCTGGAAAAGTTCAGTCTTCCTCTCAACAAAGGCAGGACCTATACTAGCCAGAGGAAGTCCCAGGCTTAAGAAGTGGTTCTATGTGAATTTTGGTAATCAACATACACAACCTGGGAGCCTAGAGTCAGGATCTCCCAACGTGGTAGAAGAGGCAAACCAGGACAACCTGCCACCTCAGTGGCTGTGCAAAAAGATGGAGAAGTTCTAAAGGTGTCTCCAGTTAATATGACTATATAAGAAGACACTGTTGAATTGAAAATGTAGTGTAGTAATCAGAGCTTGGTATTTGATGTAAGGCACTCTTAGATTCTCACCCTAGTTTGCACCTTCCCAATTATGAGAGTCAGAAAACTCACCTCATCCCTCCAAATTTTAGTTTTCCACTCTCTCTGGTAGAGCTTAAGGGGGTTTAAGGAGATAGCATGGGAAAAGTAGGTGTGCAATTAATGACTGATATAGTATAACCTTCTGTGTACCAGGCACTGGGTATGGGATCTACATACAGAAATCATTATATCTTTATACTGCTCTTATCTTCACCATAATCATTATCATCTCATGATGGTTATAAATCAACATTGTTGGGAGGCTACTATATGGAGGCACTCAAAACACTGTTTGGTGCATTATGTTTCTCTCCCATTAGCAGCTGGGGTCTCAAAGCTGTGTGTGATAGGACTGGATTTTTGCCCAGGCGACCTGGTTCTGAACTTTTTCTCCTTCTCCATTTGTTTCAAAGGAGAAAATCAGGTATCCTAGGGTTAAGTAATTTTCCAAAATGGCTTAGTGAGTGTTGAAGATAGTGTTGACTAAAATTAGGTCTGTCTAGTCTTTGTTTTCTTTAGTAGGATTTCAGTACTCTGAAAAGAAAGGATATGCACTCCTTAGAAGTGTACAGTTATAGGTTGGCTGACCACCTACCAGGGATTCATAAAGAAGGTTTTAACTTTTGTATCAGAGGTTAGAATAAATGCACTCCAACCGTCTCCTGCTAATTTTCTACCTTAACTTAGGCTACAAATGAACACCCAAATATACTTTCTAATTGTCAAATTGATATTCAAATGTTAACGGGGAAGAATCTTGAAAAATTAAAAATTTCCTTGAAGGAGAGCCAATTTCATTGTCCTTTCTTACCTACAGTTTAACTATGTTTTTATGTTGTAACAGATTTCCAAATGTGGAAATCAGTTCTTTCACACAGGCAAAGACTTAGATCCATGCAAGGCCAGAAACCTATTTGTTGATGAACCTGTCTTAAAGGTAGTTTAAGCTGGGTGCCTCACAAGAAAGGCCTCCAGAAGACAGCATGAAAATTCAGGGAAGGACCTCTCTGTGGCATGGGGCTATGTGTCAGTACTGTCAAGTTAGCATTTCAGCCACAGCAGCATGAGTTCCATCCCATGCCAAGGAGCTCACCCACATGGTGCAGCAGACCTCTCATATTTCACCCTGCTGATCCCCTCAGCAGTATATTTCAGTTAATCTGCATGTTCTGCTCCTTATTCTGCCTCTGGTGAATCCTTTCACCCCCTGCGCCTCTGACTTCCACCCCAGTTTTTGTATAGATAAGTAAATAAAAATAAATCTTTTTTTTAAAATGAAGAGAAAATTCAGAAATGATCCAGAGATCATAAGGACATGGAAATTTTGGATTTTGCTTGATCTTTTTGTTAAAACTCCCCATCTTCCATTTATACCTTCCACCTCAAGTCTTAGAAGTGGTATTATTGCAACCATTATTGTTAGACTATTGTTTATTTTTCTCACACACACACACATAAGTAAGCCATGCACATGCAGAATTAAAATACTCATGTTATTTGATAAATTTCTCTAATTTTACCTCTTTCTATTCATGTCTTTTGATGCTGAAGAAAGTGTTATCCAGGGACATTGCATGACTAAGATAGTAGCTTTTCAGCAGGTTGCACAAAGGAAGTGTAGCTTGCTTTGAAAGATATGAAATGCTTCAGACTCACCATCTTTTCTTTTTAAATAATCATATGGGTTTCCTTCATCCAAAATCAAGTCAAATGTGACCATTATTCCCAAATTCAAGAACAAGTTTACCTGCAAGATATTTATTTTCATTTTCTTTTGTAACTGCCTTGGAATAACTTACAGTTCCTCTCATAGTGGAGCAGTTTCCTTAGGCTGTTACCCAGGTCACTTTCTGAGTAATGACTATGCATTCTTCAGAAGAGCTTCTTAGGATGCAAACAGAGCAATTTTAATGGAAACAACAAAGTACCTTTTTAGTTTAGGAGGTCTTCTTTCTTTTCATCCTCTTCCTAATAAGGGTATAGAGTTCCCTTGACTTCCTCAGCCTTCTGGCTGTGGGGAACTGGATTTTATCATTGTATTTAATGAGGTGGCACATTGTAGGTCCACAAAAAGACTTTTGCTGTAATTGTAGAAGTCAAAAGCAGCGAGTATTTAAGGGTGGCCACTGATCACCAACCTTCACACTTTGAGAGAATACTTCTCTCCAATAGGATATTGATTTAGCTAGCACTTCTGAGCTTCTTTTAAAAGTGCTCCTGAAAAGCAAAATTCCTATACTGAATCTCTTTTAGCAAGTAAAGTGGAATATTTTTCAAACTCCAACATCTTTCCTGCAAACTAATTTCAGTATATGATTCAGCTATTAAAACAGTTTATCCTCCTTCCTGTGAAGCAATTGACAACTTATTCAAAAGCCCCTCACCTCCCCCCCCCCACTACACACAGTCTCTAATACTTGATACTCTTGTAAATTGATCCTTAGTCACGTCAGTTATGCACATGAGCCTCTAAATAGGCTTTAGATAGACAAGAGCACTAGGATCCTGGACTGGGGGTTCCAAAATGTAGTGGCTTTCAGATTAGACCCACCAGTTAATATTCAAGGACTAGTGTCCTATGTGTTACATTACCTTTATGCTTTTCTATTTTTTTGAGAAATTTATGTGTTCTTCTATTGTGTGCTGCTGTGCCAGAGTTTAGCCTGAACACTAGAGAACAGAAAGGAATAAATTCTATGTCAAGCCCTACAGAGCACCTCGTCAACCTTAAGACACACATGAAGTAGATCATTATGGCTTACCGGGGAAAGTATTCTGGACTTCAAAGTCCTGAATCCATAGAGAAAGGTCTTACTGTTCCTCAACTTGAATGTTCATAAAACAATAATAAGTTGGAGTTCCAGTCACAGTTTCTGGGTTCTCACCCATGTGCAAACAATTTCAAGATGCCATTCAGGATCAGGATGCAAGGGTGTTAAGGGTCAGGGTGTTATGAATCCCCATCTTAACAAAGGGGGGGCAGTTTGAGATGAAGGAAAGAAGGTTATAAGGTCACAAATCACTGACTGTCCAACCCAAGACATCACCCAATAGTCTAAAACAAAGGAGGAGGTTCCTGCAAAATGGTGCTATCTCTTTGACAAAAGCCTGGAGCTGATGGCACACCAGTAAGCTATGAATCAGTATCTCACTCAGTATCTCACCCAGGGGGTCACAAGTGGGGCTACTGTGGTGATAGCACAGCAGCAAAGCCAGGTTAGACAGTACCAGATTCCATACCAGATAATAGCAGATGCAACATCACCAGGAGACTGGGCTAGAGGACCCAAAGTAGTGGACAGGTCTCAGAGGTGACCAAATATAGGTCAGCAATGCCTGTCACAGGTCAGCAGTGCCAATCAGCACTGGCCAGCAGTGCTGGATGGCATGTATTAGGGAGCAATAGTGCCACAGACACTAGTGTTACAGCTCTTTAGTGTTGTTGGCACAGAGACAGTTCTTTTAGAGACATAAGGCGCATGACAACAGTGTTCTTTGAAGGTGGTATTAGAGGCAAGACTGGAGGAACATGCAATGTTCAGCTCTCGGTAGTGGCCTTGGAAGTCTCAAATCTGTATAAGTCATGGAGGTCTCTGTGAAGGTCATGGACGCTCAAGTCTATGGCAGTCTCATCAAAGGTCTTTTAAGGAGTCCCAACAAATCTCTTTACACAGGGTATGACAAATGGTTCTGCAGCTGTCTGCTCAATGAATAAAGATGACTTCTCTGACTTGTATCTCATCAGGATCCCTATCTTTCAATATTGATTAGACAATTTACAGCCCTAGCTATTTGGTCCTGGTTAAGCACTAATCAGATTGGTCTATTTACAATCCTCAGTGGTCTCAAAAACCTTGAGTGGCACTGGTGAAAGCTCAAACCTGATTGGTCCTTTGAGAGTTTGAATCTGATTGGTCTGTTTGATTCCAATGCCATATTAAAAAGTGAAATTCCAGCTGTGTGTCCAACCCCAACCTACACAGAGGTCAGGCAAGGGCAAGTGAGAACTGGGCTCAGATATGGTATGGAAAGGGGCCCCACAGCAGAGCTGAGACATGGGTCCAAACAGCTAGAGGATACACACTACCACTGCCAAGTTGGCCTACTACGCTGTAGTGCAGCCTAGGCCAAAGCCACTGGAGCTCAGGCCTGGCCTGCAGGCTGCATACACTGACGCTAGCCATCAAGCTATGCTTACTGAGGTAGGCCGCAGTAAAACAGGTTGTACCCACTGTAGCAGCAGCAGTTGCAGGTCCCCTGTGACAATTAGTGGAAGAGGTACCACTGAAAGCTTTAAGTGAGGAAGTAACACCAAAG